GGGATTGCCCGGGGAGCGGGATTACCGAGGAGTGAGAATGGGATTGCCAGCCAGAGGGAATGGGATTGCCAACCAGTGGGATTGGGGATTGCAATGCGGTTGGACCCGGGTTTGCATCCCTGGTGGGTCCGGGATTGCGAGAGAAATGGCGTTGGAATTGCAGCTCAAATGAATCTGGGATTGCAGCCCAAATGAACCTGGGATTGCAGGAGGAATGGGATTGGGATTGCAGCTCAAATGAACCTAGGATTGCAACTCGAACCTGGAATTGCAAGAGGAATGGGATTGGGATTGCAGCTCTGATGAACCTGGAATTTTAAAAGGAATGGGATTGGGATTGCAGCTCAAATAAATCTCAGATTGTAGGAGGAATGCGATAACCTGGGATTCAAGAGGAATGGGATTGGGATTGCAGTTTAAATGAACCTGGGATTGCAAAAGGAATGGGGTTGGGATTGCAGCCCAAATGAACCCAGGATTGCAGGAGGAATGGGATTAGGATTACATCCCAGATCAACCTGGGATTCAAGAGGAATGGGATTGGGATTGCAGCTCAAATGAACCTGGGATTGCAGCTCAAATGAACCTGGAATTGCAAGAGGAATGGGGTTGGGATTGCAGCCCAAATGAATTTGGGATTGTAAAAGGAATGGGATTGCAGCTCAAATGAACCTTGGATTGCAAGAGGAATGGGATTGGGATTGCAGCTCAAATTAATTTGGGATTGTAAAAGGAATGGGGTTGGGATTGCAGCTCAAATGAACCTGGGATTGCAATGTGGTTGGACCCAGGTCTGCACCCATGTTGGGCGCAGGATTGCAAGAGGAATGGGATTGGGATTGCAGCTCAAATTAATTTGGGATTGTAAAAGGAATGGGGTTGGGATTGCAGCTCAAATGAACCTTGGATTGCAAGAGGAATGGGATTGGGATTGCATCCCAGATGGATCTGGGGTTACAGCCCAAACGGGTCCAAAACTGCGAGCCAGGTGTATCCAGGATTCCAGCAGGAGTGGTTCTGAGGTTACAGCCCAAATGGATCTGGCATTGCCATGCAGATGGACCCAGGCTGGCTTTCCTGTTGGGTCCGAGATTGCAAGAGGAGTGGGGTTGGGATTGCAAAAGGGCTGGGATTGGGATTGCAGCACAGCTGGATTTGGGATTGCAGTGGGGCTGGACCCAGATGGACCCAGGCTGGCTTTCCTGTTGGGTCCGAGATTGCAAGAGGAGTGGGGTTGGGATTACAAAAGGATTGGGATTGGGATTGCAGTGGGGCTGGACCCAAGTCTGAATCCTTGGTGGGTCTGTGATTGCAGACCCATCCAACCCCAATGGTTCTGGAATTGCAAAGGAATGGGGTTGGGGTTGCAGCTGGATGGGTCTGGGGTTGGAACCCAGGATTCCAACACAGATGGGGCCCAGGATGGCAAATGAACGGGTCTGGGATCGCAACCCAGAGTGCTGCAGCCCAGCTGGGCCTGGATCTGCAGCCCAGGTGGGTTTGGGATTACAGCCCAAAAGCACCCGGGAGTGCAAGCGCAGGGTCTGGAACTGAAATCCAGATGGACCTAGATTAGCAACCCATTTTGTTCTGGGATTGGAGCCCAAATGGATCTGGAATTGCAACAGAAATTAGTCTGGAATTGGAGCCCAGATAAAACAGGGATTGCAACAGAAACATGTTTGCAATAGGATTCTAGCAGAGCCCAGGATTTTATCCCTAATGGATCCCAGATTGCAATGCAGTTATGCCCAGAATTGCAATTTAGATGGGTTTGGGATTGAAGCCCAAATGTGTCTGGGATTACCACCAAAATTAATCTGGGATTGGAGCTCAGAACAGCCCAGGTTTTCAATCCAGATGGCTCTGGAATTGCAATACAGATGGATCCAAGCTTGCAACAAAACTGGTTCTAGGATGGCAGCCTAAAGGAATCTGAGATTACAGCAGAAATGGGTCTGGAATTGGATCCCAGAAGAGCTCGGGACTGCAACCCAAGCAGATCTGGGATTGCAAACCAAATAAACGCAGCATTCCAACAGCTGGGATGGCCAGGGCACCGCAGCTGCAGGAGCAGGAGCTTGAGAGCAGCCTCGTTACCTGGTTGCAATTAGCATTCCCTCCTCCCTGACCCCTGGGTGCATGGGCAGCTGCTGCAGCTCCATTCCCTGCCCCGAGCCGTCCGTTCTCTGCCTCGCACCCTTCCCGGGCTGGGATGCTGTCACCCTCACTTCCAAGAGGAAATTTACTGGCTGCAGTGAGAGGGATGCAGCCCTGCTGCACGCCGTTGCTGTGGAAACGGGGTGAGCGGCTAATTAGATTTAATTAACGAAGCAGGAGGGGAGCGTTACAAACAGATCTGGGCAGGATGCATCACCCGGCCAGCAGGGATGTGGGTGCTGAGGTGGGGATGCCGTGGGGCTGCGGGGAAGGGGGCGTGCCTCAGTTTCCCTGCCTGCAAGGCCGGGGAGGGGGGTATTCACAGCTATGGAGCCCCTGAGGGCGCTCAGCATCACCCGTGCGCCCCCTCCCCAAAAAACCTCATGCCCCAACAAGACAGCATCGCCTCCCCCCGCCCCCCGCCCCAGCATCCTCGCTGGGCAGAGCCATTCCCGCAGCATCCCTCGGCGGGATCCGGCCCTGCCCGCATCCCTGCGTGTCGGCGTGGGCACGGCTCTGCCCCCCGCCCCTGCCTGCCCAGTTTCGGGGGCCGGGGGCCCTGGCGTGGCCACGGACGCAGGCGCAGCCCGCTGCCGCCCTGCGGGAGGGCTTCCCGAGCATCCCCCCGCTCCCGCATCCAGCGAGCCCCGCCGGTATAAATAGCGCCTGCCTTCCATTCCCCTCCCCGCCGCATCCCGGCGCAGCGCTCGGGCTGGGGCGGACACCTGGGCAGGGCGGCAGGGACGCAGCGGGAATTTCTGCGCGATTCCTTGGGCCGCGTGGGCCGCACCGACCCCCGGGACCCGCATGCTGCAGATGGTGAGGACTCTGGCGCAGTTCACCATCGCGCTGGAGGACATGCGAGACATCGGGGACGGCATCGACGCGGCCTTCGCCACCTCCGGGCTCGGCGGCTCGGCGGCCGAGGAGCTGCCGGACAAGGGCTGCGGCGGCCGCGGTGGCTCCGAGGTGACGGCCGGGGGGGTCCCGGGGCTGCGGCGGGGGATGCGGGGGGGATGCGGGGATGCGTCACCCCCGGACACGTGTGCGGCGCCCGGCACCTGCGGGCTCTGCGCCGCGATTGCCCTGGCAACCGAGCCTCCATCCTCATCCTCATCCTCGCCCCGGCGCCCCCGGGGCTCTGGGGATGGCGGGCAGGGGGGATGCTGCCGGCCGGAGGGGGCGATGGGGGGGCTGGAGCCAGCGCTGCCAGCGCCCCCCCGGTGCTGGTGTGCACGGCGGAGGCGTCGGCTGGTGGGAATGCCATGGTGGGAATGCCATGGTGGGAATACCATGGTGGGAATACCCGATTCCATGGCGGCAGGGGCTGATCCCGAGGGTGCTGAGCGTCCCGGGGGAGGCAGGGTGAGGCCGGGGTGAGGTGGGGGAGCAGATGAGGCTGAAGCATCTTCAGCCCCCCGGCGGAGAGGCTTTGCTGGGGTAAGGAATGCAGCGGGGCGCATCCCGCCTTTGCCCACGCAGGGCTTTGCCCTGCTGGGATGGTGCCTTTCCCCCAGCTCTGCTCATCCCACGGGGAATTTGCCCCTGCCGGGGTAATGCTGGTGCTGTAACCATGGAAAAGATTCCTTGCCAACAGCTGGGCCTCATCCTGCGTGTCCCCACTGCTGCAAATCCCCAGGTCCAGGAAAGAAAGGACCAGCAGGGTGAGGGTTGGGGAAACTGAGGCAGTCTGGGGCAGCAGATTCCCCTAAGCTGCATCCTCCACTGAGCGCCCGTCCATCCGTAATTACAGCTAATTAATCCAGCAGCGAGAGTGTTCATAAGCTCTCTAACCAAGTGGGGAGGTCTCAGCTGGTGTTCCCAATATCACCATGGTTTCCTGATTCCTGGAGAGCCTTGGACCCGTCACCAATATCTGGCTGCAGACAAGAGTTTCCTCCAGGCTTGATTCCATCAGCAGCCTGGTGGGGAGCAGGGAAACTGAGGCACAGCTCTGTCCTAGAGCAGGATCTGGCCAGGATCCCTCTCCATTGCTCCCTGGGGACCACGAGCACGGTGGTGGCCTCTCTCCTTGGTGAGGATGGTCAGACTTCTTGCTGTGGCTGCCGAGCAGCTTCACAGCTCATTGTGTCCCCACTGGGGAGGACATGGCAGGGGCTCATCCCACAGGACTGAGGATATTTGGGGTGTCACATCCAGGGTCTCTGGAGATTCTGCAAAACTTTTGGGGTGTCTGTGCACCCAGGGCATCTCTGCACCAGAAGCTTTTGGGATGTCTCTGCACTGGAGTCATCCTTCCCATGCAGAACCTTCGGGGTGTCTCTGCAGCCAGAATCTCTGGGGGGCACCCAAACACAAACCTTCCCTCCAAACGCAAACCTTCAGTGGTATCACTGCATCCAAAACCTTTGGGGCATCTCCCACGGAAATCTCTTGGGGTGTCTCTGCTCTCAGAGCCTTTCAGGGTGTGCACGCAGGGGGGGTCCCTGGGCCCCGCAGCCAGGAAGACCCCGGCCCATCTGCTTCCCAGGGCTTCCCACCTCCCCACGGATCTCCTCCCCAGGGTGCCCGGGTGCTGGGCGGGAGGCGAATTCCTGCGGGTCCGCTCGGAGCGGGGCCGCCGGAGAGCCAGAGGGCTCCGGCACCGACCCATGTAGGGCTGTGAGCTCCAGGGCGGGCTCCTGACGCGGCCGCGGAGGAAACCAGGCGCTCGGTGTCATGTACTTCCTAATCCTCCCGGATTCCTCCATCGGGGCGGAGAGGCAGCGCAGGGGAGCTGGACGCCAGCCGGGCTGCTCCGGTGTTCCGCCAGCCCCGGCACGCTGCTCCCCCGCCCCGGCTCTCCCCAAAACGCTGCTGTGTCTCTTCCCCCCGGGCAGGACATGAGGAAGCACGTCATCATGACCCTGCTGGACACGGAGCAGTCCTACGTGGAGTCCCTGCGCACCTTGATGCAGGTAAGGTGGCACGGACGGGGTGACACCCCAAAGCCTGCTCACCCCCAGTCCTGCCCGTGCCAGGGGCTGTGTGGCACCGCTTGGGGTGACACTGGGGATGCTGGGGACTGAGGGGAGCGCTGTGACAGCAGTGTCAAGAACGGGGTGTAGGAATTACCTCCGTGCCCGAAACGAGCCTGCGGCACTGCCAGCGTGCTGTCACCTGGCAGGTGGCGTGTCCCCCAGTCTCTTTGCCGTGCTTGCCTTCCAAAATCTCCTCCTCGTGTTGCACCCCACCTCCTGATGGCCCTGCCATGATGCCTGAAATCCCCCGTTCCCTCGTGCTCCCCTTCCCTGCTCGGATCGTCACCTGCAGACCTGAGCCAAAGGTTTTTCTCAGGCTTTTTTCGCTGAGCTGGTTCCAAACCCCCTGGAGCAGCCTGGCCCCAGGGTCCAGCCCACGTTTCAGATGTTAATGAAGGTGTTTCAGCAGGTTAATGATGGTCAACGCCCTGGAGACGTCACCTGGCCGAGGTGTGGCTTGTCCAGCCACATCCCTGCAGGGGGAAACACCACAAACTGCAGGAGCAGTGCCTGTGGGACCTCTGTGACAGTCCTCAAGGGCATGGGCCACTCCATCCCACACTGCCCTGGGTTCTTCCCATAAATGCCCCACAAGGATGCCCCAAGGTGGACACAGATGGGCTGCAGGAGGGAGGGACCCCCTGGCTGCTGCCCGTGCAGACCTTGGCTTAGAGGGGCGAGAGGACCCCAGCCCTGGGGCTGATTTTGGGGGGAATTTTACAGGGTTTGGGACTGGGAGGTGTCCCCACTGGTTTTCCCATGGAGAGAGTCTGTCCCATGGTCTGTGCATCCTCTAGAAAGACACGGGTGGGAGCCACAGGGTGTTAATGCCTGGGCTCTTGTCCATGGGACCTGTCCTGACACAGTGCCACCAGGGGGGACCTGGCTTTCTGGCAGGGATCATGGGGCTCCAGGTGTCCCCAGCTCCCTGTCTCAGCTGGGACAAGGTGCTCAGGTCCTTGACATGGCTTGGTGGCACTTAGCATGGGACAAGGACCATCTTGGAGCATCATCCTCCAGCCAAGGCAGATGGTGCATGGGCAAGCCCTGCCTGCTGTCCCTGTGTGCTGCAGCAAGGGCTGTCTCCTCCTCTTCCCAGTGTAGGAAGCACGGGATGCATGGCACAGTCCATCCCAGCTCCTGCTGGAGGTGCTGGACGCAGTAGGACAGGTGAAGGGAGTTAGGAGCCCCAGGACAGATTTGGTCCCTCTAATTTGGGTCTCCATGAGATATCTGGCATCAGCTTGAGGAACCTGATCCTTGGGGCATGACTCCTTTGCCTGCTTGGTTGGAGAGGTCTGAAGCCACTGGAGATGGGTCCTGTCCTCAGTGCTCAGCTCCATGGTCCTCCACACATCCTGAAAGCCACCAGCACCCTATACTGGTCAGACTGAGCGGGTGGCAAGGCTTGAGAAGACCTTCCACATGCTGCTGCATCCCCTGCAAATCCATCTCTGCCATTCCAGGGGTGCTCCTCCACTCTGTAGCTCTGCCCCATGGATGGAGGAGAGGGGTTTCATAGCAGAGCCACCACCCAGCCCTGCTGAGCACCTGCTGGCCCTGAGCATTGCTCATTGGCCCTTGTGTGGTGGCCGAGGGCATGACCCAGTGGGTGCATCCTGCTGGCCCAGCCCCCACCTGGTTCCAAACACCCTAAATCCCACCGGGAACACTCCGGCATTTGGATCCCGGGCTGGTGTTGCTGTGATTTCCAAGCTAGGTCGGGCAGATGGAGGTGGTAAAGGCTCATGACAGCAAAGCTGGCTCTGAAGGCCCTGGGACAGAGGATCCTGTGCCAGGCAGGCTCCTTGTGCAGATCTGTCCCCTCCCCACTCAGCTGTGGGGATTCACTGAGTGCATCCCAGGGACCCAGGAGGGCTGGGCTGCAAAACCTGCCTGGTCCTGGGGGCTGGTCCCACAGCCCAGGGAGGAGCCCCCTGCTGCAGGCTGCCATCCATGCCCGTGTTTACATGGGCTGAGAGATCCAGACTGGCTGGGCAGGGAGGGGAAACCCCCACGGGTCCCGGTGCCTCTGCTTGCCCGCAGGGTTACATGAAGCCGCTGAAGCAGCCGGAGAACTCCCTGCTCTGCGACCCTTCGCTGGTGGACGAGATCTTCGACCAGATCCCCGAGCTGCTGGAGCACCACGAGCAGTTCCTGGAGCAGATCCACGACTGCGTGCAGAACTGGCACGAGAAGCAGAAAGTGGGCGACCTCCTGGTGCAGTCGGTAGGTGCTGGCGGGGCGATTCCCCCCGGGAATGCGGGTGTGCCCGCTGCTGGGCACGGCCCCAGAGCAGAGGTTTCGGAGCAGGAGGCAGGGGAGTGATGAAAGGATGGGCCAAGCAGGCCTGGGATGGAGAGCAGGAGACGATCTCCAGGCCTGCTGTCTGCTTAGCATAAGGGTGGGAGCTGCTGCTCCCGGCTGGCTCTGCAGCTCTGCGTTTCTGCCTCGGGAGCACAAACGTCAGGGCTGAAAAATCGAGGTGGGCGGACAGCGGGTGAGCCCTCCCTGCGCCAGCCCAGAGCCAGAGTTAACCCTTGGGGCAGCTGCTCCCAGGCTCTCCCAGAATGCCCGTGATCCCTAGCCCTGTTTTCCTGCCCCCAGTTCTCCAAGGATGTGCTGGTGAACATCTACTCTGCCTACATTGATAACTTCCTCAACGCCAAGGACGCCGTCAGGATCGCCAAGGAAGCCCGGCCGGCTTTCATGAAGTTCCTGGAGGTGGGTCCTGGTTCCTGTCTCTGTAGATCCTGGCCACGATCTAGAGCCAGATGGGAGTTAATGGGAGCAAATTTATTGCCAGACTGGAAATTTCCCCTCACCTTCTTGGTTTTGGTGCAAAGAGGGTCAGTTGGGATGGAGCGGAATCACTCCGGGTGGTGTGGAAATTTGGACCCCAAACCAAAATGGGCAATCCTGGTTTAATGGATCCTTGCTGTGTCCCACCAAGGGTCCCATCCTTGTCCCTCCTGGGTGTTTTGCAGCAAAGCATGCGGGAGAACAAGGAGAAGCAGGCCCTGTCCGACCTGATGATCAAGCCTGTGCAGAGGATCCCGCGATACGAGCTGCTGGTGAAGGTGGGTGACACCGGGGTGGCAGTGTCACACCAGCAGCGGGGAGGCCACGGCTTCTCCTCGCCTCCACAAAGCTTTCAGGGCTCTCAGGTCTCTCCTGACCCCTTGTCACAAAGCTGGTGTCCCCAGGCGTGCACATGGCTCTGCCCTCCTGCAGATGGTCACTCTGAGGACGGTCACCTTGCTGCCCCAGCCCACCATGGTCCCCTTACCCTCAGCCTTCCCGCTGGACATTTCCACCCTTTCCTCGGGGCTGGTTTCCATCCCCAGCAGCCGGGACAGCATGGGAGGGGCTCGGGCAATGGCAGGCGCTGCCAGGGGTGACAGCCCCCTCTGTCCCCGTGGCAGGACCTGCTGAAGCACACCCCAGAGGACCACCCCGACCACCCCTTCCTCATCGACGCCCAGCGCAACATCAAGCAGGTGGCCGAGAGGATCAACAAGGGCATGAAGAGCGCGGAGGAGGTGGAGAGGAACGCCCGGATCGTGCAGGAGATTGAGTCCCACATCGAAGGGATGGAGGACGTATGTGTGGGGGGCCTTGGATGGGGTCACTCTTTCCCTCTCCACAAAACGTCCTCATTTCTGCTCTTTCTGGGTCACCTGTTTGCTCCTCCAGGTCCAGCTTTCCCCATTTTCATTTGGTCTTGGTGGGGGTTTGGGAAGGGACTGGGGTTTCAACTCTAAGCTGGGGGATGCAGGGGCAGGGATGAAGGCCACAAAGCTCCCCACAGTGGCTTCCCAACCACAGGTCTCCTTGTCCCCACAGCTCCAGGCTCCGCTCCGCAGGTTCCTGCGCCAGGAGATGGTCGTGGAAGTGGTAAGAGTGGGGTCTGTGGGGAAATGGGACCCCTCGGGGTGGGCAGTGGGGGGCTGTGAGTGCAGGTCATGGGCTGCCTGTGTGCCCATGGGAGGCGACGGATGGATGGATGGATGGATGGATGGATGGATGGATGGATGGAACGAACGGAAGGATGAAAGGGGAAGGCAGCACATGGGGAAACTGAGGCAGGGCCCTCTCCCAGCACTGGCCCTGAGGAGGGATGGTCACTAACCCGCTGGTGTCTCCCGCTGCTCCACAGAAGGCGGTGGGTGGGAAGAAGGACCGCTCCTTCTTCCTCTTCACGGACCTGCTGGTGTGCACCACGCTGAAGCGCAAGTCGGGCTCGCTCCGCCGCAGCTCCATGAGCCTGTGAGTACCCCCAGGCCTGAGGACACCCCCTGGCTGTCCCTGCCAGCTGGCCTGGCTTCAGGGGGCTGTGGCTGTGGGTGCAGCTCGGCCATGCCCCCCAACCTCCCAGGTACACAGCGGCCAGCGTGATCGACACCGCCAGCAAGTACAAACTGCTCTGGAAGCTGCCCCTGGAGGATGTGGAAATTGTCAAAGGTCTGTCACTGCTTGCTGGAGTGTCCCATCTCTCCCCAAAACCCATGGGTGGTAGAGCCAGGGAGGGAGGGGTTAACTCTGCGCGTGTGTCCCCACACAGGTGCCTCGCAAGCCACCAACAGGGAGAGCATCCAGAAAAGCATCAGCCGCCTGGATGAAGACCTCAACACGCTGGGGCAAGTCAGCAAGCTGTCAGAGACCCTCAGCTTCCCCCACCAGGTATGGGGATGGCGGCCCTGCAGCTGTGCCCTGGTTGGATACGTTCCCGGTGGGAACACAGAGGATGTCCTCAGCCAGAAGGGACAACCTGTGGCAGGACTGGTGGCCATAAGCGCCCTAAAGCCACAAAAGAGGTTGGGGCAGCCTCTGAAGGATGCCAGGGGATGGACAGGATGTGGAAATTGTCAAAGGTCTTTCACTGCTTCCTGGAGTGTCCCATCTCTCCCCAAAACCCATGGGTGGTAGAGCCAGGGAGGGAGGGGTTAACTCTGCGCGTGTGTCCCCACACAGGTGCCTCGCAAGCCACCAACAGGGAGAGCATCCAGAAAAGCATCAGCCGCCTGGATGAAGACCTCAACACGCTGGGGCAAGTCAGCAAGCTGTCAGAGACCCTCAGCTTCCCCCACCAGGTATGGGGATGGCGGCCCTGCAGCTGTGCCCTGGTTGGATACGTTCCTGGTGGGAACACACAGGATGTCCTCAGCCAGAGGGGACAACCTGTGGCAGGACTGGTGGCACCCTAAAGCCTCTTTTGGAGGATGCCAGGGGATGGACAAGGGGCTATCAAGCACGTGGCTTGTGGTGGCCCGTCCCTGAGAGCTGTTGTCCCCGTCCCAAGGGCCTGGATGACGTGATCAAGGACCTGATGGCCGCCATCCACCGGGAGCTGTCGGAGAAGCAATCCCTGTCCTTCAGCATGGCCTTCCCCCCCAACAAGGTGGAGCTCAGCACCACCAAAGCTGACGGCACCGAGTCCTTCATCTTCGAGTTCCCCAACCCCGACGCCCGGCTCGGCTTTGAGCAAGCCTTCGAGGATGCCAAGAAAAAGCTGGGTAACAGCAGGGAGAGGGCAGCTGGACGAGGTGGTGGGCTTGGCATCCCCCCACGCTGCTTTGGTAGACCCCTTTCCTCCATCACGTCTTGATCTCCCAGTCTGTTTTTCCCAGCTTCCAGCAAAAACTGCCTGGACCCGGAGTTCCTCAAAGCCATCCCCATCATGAAGACGCGGAGTGGGATGCAGGTACTGAAAGTCTGGGCTCAGGCATCCCGCGGGTCCTCCCCACCCCAGTGCTCTTGCTACCAGACGCCGACAGCTCCTGAGTAACCCAATCTTCCTCTCCCTTGCAGTTCTCCTGCGCTTCTCCCAGCCACGGCAGCCCCGAGAGCTCGCACGAGGTTTGGGTTTGCAACAGCGATGGCTACGTGGGGCAGGTCTGCCTGCTGAGCATCCGCAAGGAGCCCACGGTGGAGGCCTGCATCGCCGTCTGCTCCGCCAGGATCCTCTGCATCGCCTCCGTGCCCGGCCTCAAGCGCGCCTACAGGTAGGACATGCCCCAGCCCTGCGGCGCCAGGGGCGCGGGGCGCTGCCGCAGGAGCGGGGCGATGCTGGAGCTGCTTCTCTCCTCTCCCTCCCTCCCTCCCGGCAGCGGCAGGGAGCGCGCGGAGCCGCTGGGCAGCCCCGCTGCCGAGCTGGGCCCCGCGCCGCCGGAGGACGCGGCGCCGCAGCCGTGCCTGCACATCTCCATCTCGGGCTCGTCGCTGGAGCTCTCGGAGCCCGTGGACGGCGGCAACAGGGAGCTGGTGCCCTTCGACAGCGACGACACGGATGACGAGTCCTCGCCCAGTCCCTCCGGGACTCTGCAGAGCCAAGCCAGCCACTCCACCATCTCCTCCAGCTTCGGCAGTGAGTCCTCCCCAGCCCCTGCTTGGGAGAAATACGCTTTTTAGCCCCAAAATTATGGGCAGTTCCATTGTTTTGGCTTCTCTGCCTTGTATTCCTTGGGGGAATCTGCAGGTGGAGGCTTTTGTGCCTGGGAGAAGAGATGTTGGCCCAACAGTGTGGTTCTGTGGACTTTGGGTGAAGCCTCATGGATTTTGGGGCTCAGCATCCCTGTGCCACCCCCTGGGCTTGACATCACCCGTGGTCTTTTCCCCATGACTTTGGAGCGTGTTGGATGGCCGTGGTCTGATGCACTCCTTCCTCCTCCTCTTCCTCCTCCTCAGATGAAGAGATCCCGAGCTGCAAGGAGGCAGCAGTGGAGACGACGAGCTCGGAGGAGGAGCAGGAGCCTGGTTTCATGCCCATCACTGGCACCTACGGGCAGAGCCGGCACGGCGAGAGCCCCACGGACGGGCGCGCCCTGCGCCGCTCCAGCCGCGGCTCCTTCACCCGCGGCAGCCTCGAGGACCTCCTCAGCCTCGACCCCGAGGCCCACCAGAGCTCCATGTGGCTGGGCACCGAGGATGGCTGGTGGGTCCCCGGGGTGGGAATTCCCACGTGGAATTCGCGCCGGTCCTGGGGGAGCCTCGAGCTTTGCTCTCCTCCTGCAGCATCCACGTGTACCAGTCCTCGGACAACATCCGGAACAGGAAGAACAGCATGAAGATGCAGCACGCTGCCGCCGTCATGTGCATCCTGTAAGTGGGGAAGGGGGATTTTCAGCTCTGGGAGGGCCGGAGCAGGGGATTTTGGGCTTCTGCAGCTGGATGTCAAAGGTGGTTTGTGCCCGCAGGTACCTGGATAACCAGGTGTTTGTGTCATTGGCCAACGGGGAGCTCGTTGTGTACCAGCGGGAAGCAGGTGAGCTTGGATTTGGGATGTCAGAAACTCAGCCCCAAGGTGGTGGCTGTTGGAGGGTGGCTCGGGGTGGCATCCCTGGAGGGATGCTGGAAACACCACACTCAGAGGCAGGTGGAGATGGGCATTCTTCTCCTGGTCCCTGCCTGCCGCTGGAACCCCATGGTGGCATCAGTTCATGTCCTCTCTGAGGGGTGGCCTGGAGGAAGTGGTAACACTTTACCCACCCCACTCTCCCCGCCCTCTCAGGCCGCTTCTGGGACCCCCAGAACTCCAAGTCCCTGTCCCTGGGCTCACCGGGGAGCCCCATCACCAAGATGGTGGCGGTGGCGGGGAAGCTGTGGTGCGGCTGCCAGAACCGCGTCATCGTCCTCAACACCGCCACGCTGGCACAGGAGGTACGGGGGGGCCAGAGGGCACCCTGGGAGGTGTCACGGGCACCGATGGCATCGCAGGTGGCATCACCGGTGGCACGTGTCCCCTCAGCACACGCTGCAGGTGGGGCAGGACGGCGGGCGCAGCGTCACCTGCATGGTGAGCGCGGGCGGCGGCGTGTGGGTGGCACTGCAGGGCAGCGCCCAGGTGAGGCTGTACCACGCCGCCACCTACGAGCAGCTGGCAGAGGCTGACATCACCCCCCCGGTGCACAAGATGCTCGCCGGTAAGTGACACCCGTGGCGCGTCTCTGGCGGGTGACACCGCCAGCTCCAGCGGGTGCTGGCGCCCCTGGAAAGCGCCCTGGAGCAGCCGGTGATGGGAGATTCAGGGTGCTGGGTTTGGGGAGGGAGATGCGAGGCCTTGTGGGATTATCCAGGCAGCTGGGTGATCCCATGTGGAAATGGGGCAGCCCCTGGGGAAGTGGATAATTCCGTGTTGAAAAACGTGGGTAATCCCATAATCCATAGAACTGTGGAATTCAGGGTGGTTGCAGTTGGAAGGGACCTTACAGATCATCTAATTCCAACCCCCTGCCATGGCAGGGACCCCTTCCACTGTCCCAGGGCTGTTCCAAGCCCCAGTGTCCAGCCTGGCCTTGGGCACTGCCAGGGATCCAGGGGCAGCCACAGCTTCTCTGGGCACCCTGTGCCAGGGCCTGCTCACCCTCACAGGAAGGAATTCCTTCCCGACATCCTCTCTCAGTGGGAAGCCATTCCCCCTTGTCCTGCCAACCCAGTGTGATGCCACCACCCGGGGGGGGGGGGGGTTGTGAGCTCCCTTCCCCGTGCCCCATGTTCCCTGGGGATGGCTCCCTGTGGGTGGGGGTTCCCAGCCCCGTGCGGGGCAGGACAAGGCACCGACGGCAGGAATGCCCGGCAGGCTCGGATGCCATCATCCGGCAGCACAAGGCCGCCTGCCTGCGGATCACGGCCCTGCTGGCCTGCAAGGAGCTGCTGTGGATCGGGACCAGCGCCGGCGTGGTGCTCACCCTGGCCGTGTCCCCCAAGGCAGCCCCCACGCTGGTGGGGCTGTCCCAGGGACACACCGGCCACGTGCGCTTCCTGACGGCCATCGAGCTGCCCGACGGCCTGGACGTCCTCTTCCCGCTGCCCAGGGACACGGGTAGGCGGGGGGGCTGCCACGTCCCGGTCCTGGCACTTCCTGGGGGCAGTGCGCAGTGTTTGTGGGGCTGGGAATGCCGCGCTGGATGAGCAGGAAATGTCGGAGTCCCCGCTGCATTCCTGCCTTGTTAAAATCCAGGGTGAAAAACTGGCAGTGGAGGGTGAGAAAACTGGATGCCAAACCGCCCTCTACCAACACGGGCAATCCCAAATTTCCCAGGGAGACCCGAATTCCCACGGTGTCACCCAGCCCAGCTCCGAGGCAGGGAGAAGGAGCAGATGGGATGGGAGCTGGCAGGAGCCCATTTGGGTTACAGGGGCCATTTGGGCAATGAGGGCCTGTTGGGATGAGAGGAGCTTTTTGGGGCCGGGATGTGGTGCCGGCAAGGCGGTGGAGGGTGGATGCTGATGGAGGGTGGGTGCTGATGGAGGGTGGATGTTGATGGAGGGTGGATGCTGATGGAAGGTGGATGCTGATGGAGGCTGGATGCTGATGGAGGGTGGATGCTGATGGAGGGTGGGTGCTGATGGAGGGTTGAGGGTGGATGCTGATGGAGGCTGGATGCTGATGGAGGGTGGATGCTGAGGTGCTGCTGCTGGGGACCAGCGGAGCCGGTGACAGCATCCGGGGGGTTCTGCGCCTGGCAGGGGCCGAGAAGCCGAGCGAGGCGGAGAAACGAGACCCGTCCCGGCCCCGTGCCCCCGCGCTGGCCCTGTCCAAGCCCAAGATGCTGGTGATCAGCGGCGGGGACGGCTACGAGGATTTCCGGCTGACCAGCAGCAGCGAGACCGTGGGCCGGGACGACAGCACCAACCACCTCCTGCTGTGGAGAGCGTGACCAGCCACGGCCCCCCCGGGCCGGCCCGGCATGGAACGGGGGGTGCTGGCCCCCCTGTGCGCAGAGGGGGGGTCCCGGCCCCCTGCCCACCGCCCCCCGCCCCAGCACCTCTCATCTCCAGCCCGGCTGCTCTCTGTGTGCTCGGGGTCGGGGGGATGAGCCCCGCTCCCCCCGGCCGCCGCTGGACTCGGGGGGGACACACAGCGCTTCGGGGGGATGGGGCGGGGGTTCGCTTGGGAAGGCGCTGCGGAGGAGGAAGAGGAGGAGGAGGAGGAGGAGGGTACCGAGCATCCCCGGGGATGCCCGCCCGCCAGGATCCTGCCTTGCTCTCCGGTTCTGTGTGTGCCTGCGCTTCGCGGGAGCAGCCCGGGGCCGAGCCGCCCGCCGTGTCCCCCCCGGGCCGGGCCGGGCCGCCCGCCAACCCGCTCGCTCCATCGCCAGCACCCCGACAGCTCTGTCCGTTCGTCCGTTGGTTTTAAATATATATATATATTATATATATATAAACATCCTTATTTATTTGGGGGCCTGGGGAGGGGGCAGGGGCGTCCTCACCGCGCTGCCGGGCCCTCCTCTCCGGGGGTGAGGGGTTAAAACTTCCCGGGCAGCGCCCCGAGGGACAGCCTGACCCCGCCGGGGGAGGGGAGGAGGGAAGGACATTTGGGCGTCCCCCCTCCTCCTCTGTGATTCCCGGTGGGGTTGTGCAGCCTGGGAAGTGGGATGAAGGCGCTGCTGCCGTTTGGAGCATCTCTGGATGAGAGGAATCATCTTCTGCCGCCAGGGCTGTCCCCCACCCTTCCAATGCGGTGACCCCAAAAACGAGACTGTGCCGGACCAGCCCTCCCCCATGTGCCCCTTTTCTCCCCCGTTTTCCTGCTTTCACCCCAGGATCCAGGCGAGATCAGTGCTCCCAGGCTGGGACACCCTGCTGTCCCCGCGGGAGACGTGACAGCCGTGGTGGCAGGGATGAATCAGGGTGTCCCCAGTCCCGCACAGCCGGGTGAGTGACGGGAATGCTGCCATCCCACATGGAGCCATCCGTCTGTCCGTCAGCGGGGTGAGTGGGTGTGCGCTATATTTGGGGCGACGAGGATATTTTGGGAAAGGGGCGGGGGGGGATTTCGGTCACTCGGGGGCTCTTTGTTATTAAAGGTCACCCGTGCCAGAATGATCCCGGCGTGCTCTCGTCCTTCACCTCGGTGCGGGGCGGCAGGGACAGGCTGAGGAGGGGCACGGCTCCCACCATTCCCACTGGGAATGTCACCCGCCGCTGCCGCTGGTGATGGAGACCCCGGTGGGAGGAAGAAGCCGTTTCCACCACTGGGGTGCAGTTATTCTGCCCTGCATAACCCCGAGGGGGATGTCAGGATATGAGGGATATCCTGATATTTTCCCCAGGACGTCCTGGGAAAACCGAGGGCCATAGAAGGAACGGCACCCGGGTGTCCCCAGAGTGGGAAAGCTGTCCCCAAGGGAACAGGACAAGGCATGGCTGCAGGAAAGCGGGGTGCAGCACTTACAGATCCCCCCTGCGAGCGCACACGGGGAAGAAAGAAAACAAAAAAACCCTTTTTCTTGTTAATTTGAATTCCTGCCGGGCAGGTGAATCCCACCGCGCTCCGGTTGTTCCCGTTTTCCCGGCGGCCGGGATAAATCCCATCCCAAATCCCGGGCCGGGATCGGCCATTCCCGCAGTCCCCAGCAGGTGGCGCTGCCTCGGTGAACGGAGGGGGCGTGGCCTACCGCGTGACGTCACATAGAGGGGCGGGGCCGGCGGAGCCGCGCGCCCGCGGGTTCATTCATAAGGAGGAGGCGGGAGCGACGGGGCCGCCCCGGGGGGAGCCCGGGGGCTCCGCGGCGGGGACAGGTAGGGGACACCCCCCGGGGACAGGGACACCCCCTCTGCCCGGGGGGCTCGGGCCGCTCGCCCACGCGGCGCTCCGGGGTTGGGGTTTCTGCAGTTTTGGGGTTTCTGCAGTTTTGGGGTTTCTGCAGTTTTGGGATGTGCGAGGACGGGGGGGGGGTCCGGTGCTTTTTGGGGTGCTCGACCCCCGCTGTGCTGGTTTTGTCCCTAAAGCCCTCCCGCCGGGAGTGGGGTGCGCCCCGCGGGGCCGGGAGGCTGCGGCTGCTGCGGCGCCGAAGTAGGTTAAAAAAAGGGCTGGGGAGGAGAAAAAGTAGGTTAAGGAACGCTCAGCTGCGGCTGCCGGCGAAAAGAGGTGGCAGCCGTGCCGGGTCTCTCTTTATTTTATTTTTTTGTCCGCCCCCCTTTTTTATTTTTTGCCGGAGCTGGAAAATCCCAGGGCCGGGGATGCTGCGGGATGCTGCGGGATGCTGCGGGACGGGGCTCTGGCGGGGCTCTGCGCCTCCCGGCGCTTCCCCGGGGATGGTTTGACTGTAACGCTGGAATTCCGTGGCGGCTCGGTCGTTCCCGCAGCCCCCCTGGGAGCCGGGATTGCGGTAGCGCCGAGTTTCGCTCCATCTGCCGGACAATCCCTCCTTGTCCGAGGCTGTCTCCAGCAGCTGCTCCCGAAGTTTTCCCCAACAGTTGCTCCTTTTTCCCTCCGTTTGTCTGCGGCTGGAACCCGGCTCCCCCAGGGGAGGGGAAGCCGGGGCTGGAATCCCGGCGGGCAGTTTTGGGTTACAGACTCTGGAATGAACGGCTCATGTGATCCGGAGGGATTTGGGGAGGTTTCCAAAACCTCGCCTCTTCTGGCTCGCTGGCATTGATGCACCGGTCAGGTGGGGCTCGGGCCTTGGAGTGCCCCCAAAAGCAGCCGGGTCTGGCGTTTATGGAGTTATTTTTGGCTCCCTCTGCCTCTTGGAAGGGCAGATCCTGTGGGTTTGAGGAGTGTGTCAGGGCAGCTGGGCTTCCCAGCCTCACCAGCTGGGGACTGTGTACCCTGTCCCCGCTTGGGATGGCCCCAAGCTGCCCCCAAAAGCGGGTGCTGAGTCCTGGGCAAAGCTCCAAAGCCGGCACCCCCTGCTCCCTGCGCCTCCCGTGTTCATCTGAGGGATGCCCCCAATCCCGGGATTGAGCTTGGCCTCAAATCAGCTTTACCCCTGCTCCTGGCGGTGTTTAGATCCAGTCATCCCGATCTGGAGTGCTCGTGGTCCCTCAGCCACGGAGGGACCCCCCTGTCCCCCCCTGAGGCCATTTCTTCCCCAGCAGAGCAGGTCCCCAGACGTCTCAGTGTGTCCCCAAAGTGCACAGCCCCAGGGAGTTAAAGTGCTCCACGCCAGGTTTAAACTCGAGTTTTATTGGATTGTAGGATGGAGAGCTTGCACAGGGCACCACCATCCCTTTGTGCTCCAGGGGTACATCCCAAATCCCTGGGGATTCAGGAGCTGGGCTGGCATCCCGTGGGAGTGATCCTGTACTGGGAGGGAGCTGGAATACAGAGGATGCTCTTTTTGGGGTCTGCTCTTTTTGGGGTCTGCTCATTTTGGGTGTCCCAACCCACATCCTCTAAACCCCCGGCTCAGCCCCGCTCACCCCCAGGACCCCTCACCTGTAATTAGCTGCATCTCGGCGTGGTGCTGGCCGCTAATTAGGAGAAACTCGTCAGGCACAGGCTGTAATGAAGCTCTGCCAGGGCTCTCACAGGACCGTGACGACCGGGGGGGGAATTTCCATGCGGGTGGCAGGATTTCCATGCGGGCGGCAGGATTTCCATGCGGAGGCTGGATCCGGGTTTGGGTTATTATTTATTTTTTCCTTCCTTCCTTCCCCTGTGCTGTCAGCATAGATTTTAATTTTAACAACCAATTGCTGAGCCCGAAGAGGGGGGGATGAGCCTCTGAGAAATACCTCTTGTTTTGTTCAAGTTCTTATTTAAATATTTTTAAATATTTTTTTGTGACTTCATTTCCTTGTGACAGGATTTCCTCCGGAGCAGGAAAAAACCTTTCTTTAACTTTGTTTAGCATCATCTGCTCCTTGCATGAATGGTGTGACTCCACTGCTGAGGTCGGTCCCTCTCCAGTTTGGGATGGAGCTGGGATCTCCAAGGGAAGGGGTGAAGCTGGGCATTCCAGAAGATCTCTGAAATAACTTTCTGGGGGATAGTTGAGGACTGCTGCTGTAGGGATATTTAGGCAGCATCCCAGTTGGGAGAAAAAGGGCCCCCAAATTACTTCCCCAGTGGGACTTCCCCTGGATGATGACGCCGGTGCTCTCCCTTGGGCAGGTCCCCCTGGGTGATGAAGAGGAGTGGGATGCACTGGTGGCTTGTCGCCGTCTTGGGGGTGAGTATGGCCTCGTCTGGCCCCATCCCATCCCCTCCCATCCCTCTGCTTCTCCAATGCTCCATCACCACACAGGACACGGGGATGGGTTTGCATCCACCCCGGTGCATCCACTGAGCTCACATCCCTCACCCCGCTGCAGAAGGCCATCCGCTGGCTGTGGGGCGAGCGACACGGTGGCCTTTGTCACCGTGCCACCGGCTCTGAGCGCTCCGGTGTCCCGCAGGTGCTGAGCGGACCTGCCCGGAGCGCCGGGAGCTGCAGCGCCGCGGAGCCGGGCGCAGCGGGATGCCCGCCCGGAGCCGAGCCCAGCCGGGTAAGCCGAGCCCAGGGCGCTGAGCCGGGCCCGGCGGGCTGAGCCGAGCCCGGCCGCGGGACCCGGCTCACCGCCTTTCCCGCCCCGCAGGATCCAGCGGGGCCGTGCCGAGCCTGTCCCCCCGGCACCTTCTCGCGGGGGGACGCGCCCTGCGCCGCTCACACGCCGTGCCGGGCCGGGAGCGGGCTGCTGGTGGCGGCGGGGACGGCGGCCAGCGACAGCCGCTGCGGAGCCTGCCTGCCGGGGTGAGCCCAGCCCCTGTCCGAGGCTGGCCCGTCCTCCCCGCAGGCCGGCGGCGAGCCCGCAGCCCCGAGATGCCGGGCCGGGCTCCGGGAGCCAACGGGACACGCGTGACCCTGCTGGGTGAGCAGGAGGAGGAGGCGGCAGCGGCGCAGGCAGCCGTGCTGACCATCGTGCCGGTCTTCTGTGCCATGGGGCTGCTGGGCATCCTGGTCTGCAACCTGCTGAAGAAGAGGGGTTATCACTGCACCGCCAGCAAGGAGCCCCAGCCCGGTGGCACCGGTGAGCCCCGGTGATCCCACATCCCTCTCATCCTGCCCAGCCCATTCCTGTGGTTGCTGGTTCCCCTTGTCCCACGGCATCCTGGGTGCCTCATCCCCCATCACCGAGCTTTCCCCAACCTTTGCTTCCAGGTGCCAGCTCCATCTACCAGCTGGAGGATGCCAACGAGGACACCATCGGGGTGCTGGTGCGGCTGATCACCGAGAAGAAAGGTCAGGGGGTCCCTGGGAAGGGGGAGGAGGAGGGGGCGACCTGGGCCAGGGCCCCGTGACCCCCCAGCTCCTGGGTGCCGCACACAGAAAACGCAGCGGCGCTGGAGGAGCTGCTGAAGGAGCACCAGAGGCAGCAGCTGCTGCCACCGAGCTGTGCCCCCCTCAATAAGTAAGAGTGTCCCCTGAGGACCCCCTGCTGGTGCTGGGACCACCCCCACGCTGATGCCGTTTGCCCCCTCCCCAGGCTGCACCTCCTGCCTCAGTTTCCCCCGGCCTGCCAGCACCAGCAGCACCCGCACACGGTGCAGGGGCCGGCCCCGTGCGCCCGCTGCGACCAGAAGTGGCCCCAGCTGCTGCCATCCCTCGGTGCCACCAAAGTCCCCAAAGCCGCGGCTCCTCCCAGCGAGGTGACCATCCTCTCCATCGGCAGGTAGGCAGGGACAGCCCCCGCTGGGTGTCCCCTCTGCGGGGCTGGGGACAGGCTGACGTGGTGCTCCCCAACAGGTTTCGGGTGTCCCGGATCCCGGAGCTGCGGGGCGAGGCAGGGGGGGAGCCCCTCCGTGGTCCCCTCCCCGCCGGCAGCGGGATGTGACCCGGCATGGAGCAGCACCAAGGGCCCCTCGAGGTGAGGGGGTGCTGGGGAGCCCTGGGCTCCTGCCGGGACAAAGGGGCTCTGGAGGCTGGCAAGGGGAGCATTAACACCCCAGGGATGTGGTGTGGGGACAGTGGGGCAGGAGGGAGGGGTGTCCCCTCTGCACGGCCTGGCATGGCCTGGCACGGCCGGGGCTGCTCCGTGACTCACGGGCAGCTGCAGGGCTCACGTGCCCTCGCTCACGTCCCCGCGTCCCCTCCTCCAGCTGCGCTGCTGCTGTGACCATCCAGCTCTGGGCCCCTCCAGATGGAGGGGCTGGAGCGTGTCCAGGGCAGGGAAGGGAGCTGGGAAGGGAATGGAGCACCAGGAGAGGCTGAGGAGCTCAGCCTGGAGAAAAGGAGGCTCAGGGGGGACCTTGTGGCTCTGCTCCCAGGGAACAGGGACAGGACAAGGGGGAACAGCCTCAACAAACTGTGCCGGGGGAGGTTGGGGTTGGGTAGTGACAGCCGTGGGTGACACCGAGTGGCTCCTGCCACCCTGGGTGGTGCCAAGGGGCCAGTCCAGGCTCACCCGTGGTCCATCCCTTGTCCTCCACAGCAGGCACCTGGCCTGGGGGCTGCCTCGGGGGTCAGTGACAGCCACAGGGACCCCGTGGAGGGGGTGAGGACAGCGGGCATTGTGTGAGAGCCAGTCCAGCTCAGGGCTGCCAAGTGCTGGAGGTGGCAGCGCAGCTTCCTGCCACCAAGGTGTGCAAGAGCAGCACAGCAAACCCAGCGTCTCGCTCGGCTGGTGAGAGGATCCTCTGTCCCCGAGGCCTGAGGGTGGCCACGGCGTGGTGGCCTCATAGATTGGAACTCCAGGAGCTGCGATGCCAGCGGTGGTGGCCACGGGAATCGTCATCTCTGGGAACCGTGATGCCACAGCACAGCTCCACTGGGAGCACAGAGGGCACTGGATGCCATTTCATGGTCACCCTCTGGCTCTGTTGAACTCTGCAGGACCATCAGGAACTCCTGATTTCCCTCCATCACCTGGTGCCAGCGCTCAGGATAATGGATCACTGGATCACAGAATGATTCCCCCTTCCCAACAGCCCAGCTGGGGCACGGATTGCTCTGGGCAAAGCTGGTCTCCTGCATCCATCCATCCATCCATCCATCCTCTCTCCAAAGTCTCAGCTCACCGTGCAGATGACACATTTCACTTCCCATAGGAATTGCTTCTATGGGATCACGCTGGCTTGGCCGTGTTGGGATCACTGGGATAACCCACCCAAGGTTGGGTTGGAGACCATCAGCCCCAACCACCAACCCAAAAAAGGGTTTGTGGCCGGTCCCATTCACCTCCCCACGACATCACCGTGCCAAAAAACCAACCACCAAACCCTCTGGGGCTCTTTTATTTATTTATTTAATTTTTTTTTGGAAACATTTTAATAGTTATCGAATGTTCTACATCTTACAGTAAATATCGTACAGTTACAAACTCTTGGCTGAAATCTGTCAGGGAGATCACGACCTGATCTTCAGAACCAAAACCAGAACAGAAAACAAACGGGAAAACAACCCCAAATTTACACTTCAGATGGACAAACTGAGGCTGTGGGGCTCTCCAGGGCATCAGTCCAAGGCCATGTTCCCTACACACCTGTGAGATGTAGACTTGGAAGACGTGGTTACTCTTGGGTTTAAATTTTTTGTTGTTGTTGTTCTTTCAGGGAATTTTTTTTTGGTATTTATTTTTGTTTAAGAGGTCCAATAATACTTAAAAACGAGCTGGTCTGGTGGTCAAAATCAATTTAAAATTAATTACACAGAAAGAGGGGTGGGAGCCTGGTGTGGGTCGAGGCCGTGTTGTGGGAATGGGAGGGTTTGGGTGTGATCCTGCACCTTGCCATGCTTCCCTACAAACCCCTCCCCTGATCCTGAACCCCTCTTCCCCCTGGAAAATTCCAGCTCCATCTCTTGCAGGAGGATGCAGGGAGGCTGCAGGTGGCCATGTTGCATCAAGATTATTCCCTACAAGCAGCACAACCGAGCGCTTCCAAATGGGAATCGCTCCTGTCAAACCACAGATTTTGCTGTTCCTGCCCTGCAAACATTCCCACAAGTTCTTTTACCTGATTGCCAGAGAATCTCCAAGTGCCGTGGTGCAACATGCCACAGAAATGCCTTTTCCAAGGATTTCCTCCCTCCCAAGCTCCATCACAGGCTTTATTTTCCTTTTTTTTTCCCCTAAGGGAATGCTAACACACAGCAGAGAAAATATTTGGAGGCTGATCCTGGCTCAGGAGCAAAGCAAAGGGAAGATGGGCAGAGGGTCACCACAGCTGGAGGGCCTGAAAGTATTGGCAATTAGGGAAAAAAAACCCAAACCAAAAACACCTGGATTTATGGGTATCCAGCAGCTCTTATTGCTATTGTTGGCTGGTTGGATTTTACCAAAAATAAAGCCTCAAATGTTATTTTTTTCCATCCTGCTCAAAAAACCAGGATCCCATTTCATGCCCTCCAGCTGGGAACCACATCATCCCCACATTCCCAGAGGGGATGGCAAAGAGTCAGGGGGGTCTCTCTGGGAAGGACCAGATTCAGTGGGATGCTGGTGGCTGGAGGAAAACCTGATGCTCTGAACACCCCTCATTAAAACAAACCCCTTAAATAACATTTCCTGGGAATTGCATCCCAAAACTGCAACAATGCTGAACGGAGTGATTTATTATTCATAAAATGCAGTAGCAAATCCTTGCCTGGAGGGTTCAGCCACTTGGAGGCATGATGGCCTCAGGCTCCAAGGGGCTGCTGGGCTGTGGGGGTCACCACCACCACTGAAATCCCATTTCCCCCCCACATCTCACCTCGCAGCTTGTGTTTTGAAGTAAAGGTAAGGTCTGGGATGGGTTAATGGTTCAGAGTTATTTTTCCTTCCTCTTTAGCTGGAATTTTAATCTCAGACACTTCAGTGGCTGCTAAGGATGCTTTCACCCCTCACTGCTGCCCGGTGTGATTCTTCACTGTGGAAAACCCTTTTCCTTAACCAACATCAGCAAAGCTTTGCTGGAATGAAATATTTGAGCAAAGGAATTAAAACCCAACTGCCCCGTGTCAGGGCTCATCAGTGGGAACACTGGGTGACCCACCACGCTCCACTCCTGGGGCTTTCTCCCCCACCTTTAAAGTTTCTTTTCCTTCCAGGAGAAAGCCCAACATCTCCTTTCCACACACGGGCCAGAATTTTAGGAGTGGTTCCTAAGGTGGTGCAGGGTGCCTGGGGCAGTGGTGGGATGGTGTCTGCTGGGACAGGGACCCCAAATCTCGCTGGACCCCCCAAACCAGAGTGCCTTTACATTGGGAGGCCTGACTCAATGCTGACAGACAGCTCCTGGTGTGTAACACAAAGTCAGCATGTGAGGGGGAAAAAGGGATCTCAGAAGTCTTCAGTTCTTAGGATCTGGGGATTTTTTGGCCCAGGATTAACTGCAATGTGCTACAAACAGTGCAAGGATGATGTGTTGGTGTTATTTCCCAAGGTCCTGCTGCTCTTTACTAATCCTTGGCTTTGCCAAGCCAAATGGGGAACCCGCTGCCTATTTGCTCTTTTTTTTCCTTCTCCTTTCCCTCAATACCAGCCCAAAGTGCAGCCCAAGGGTGCCCCTTCCCCACCCCACAGCAGTCTCCCCCCACTTTGTTCCTCTTGAGGCTGAGGAGGGCAACCAGAGCTTTGCTCTAGCTTTCCTGCAAAACCAGCAGAATCAACCAAATGACCCCCAAACAGAAGTGCCAACACCCAACCTGACAAACCTCCTGGGACCAGCCAGTGGGAGGGAAAGTCCTCCTGGGATCCCTAGGCTTGTTACTCCCCACCTGGCCCATGCTCCAGGGAAGGAGCTCCAGGAGCACAGGCCAAGCTGGGAGACTCCGCCGAGAGCACGGAACACTTTTGGCACACTTGAGGCAAAAATCAAAACCCAACCAAGCTTTTGTCTTAAAAAAAAAAACAAAAACAAAAAAAAGTCCCAAAAACCTTGTTTCTATGCTGGGTTTGGTGACAAGGATTTAAAAACAAACTGGCCACAAGCATTGTCTGCAAATCCAAACCGCCTCTGCTGCCCTCAAGACAACTTATTGCTCTACTTGGACACCCCGAGGGGGGATGTCACCAGCTTCCTGTCCCTGGGTAAGCCAAAACCCCCCAAATGCCCCTGATGCCCACAGCCTCGGCGTGCCCAGCGTCCCCCATCCTGCTCCATGTCAGCTGTGGATCACCTTCCCTGCTGTCACCTCTTCTCAGGTGCCTTCCCGTGAAGGAGGCGACGTGTTTATTGCTATTGCTTCCTCCTCTGCCACCTCCCCAAGCAGAGCAGCCAGACATCATCCCCCTCCCCAGCCTTCCTCCACGGTGCTGGTATTTGTGCTTGGATGAACATTTCTCCTGGAAGTTTTGGAGCTGTAACCCAAGGAATGGGAGGGGGACACCTCAGCTGCCAGGGAGGCAGTGCAGTTTGGTCTCAGCCCTGCCAGCACCATGGGTGCCAGCTGAAGCCACCCACCTTGCCTTCACCCTGCCTTGAAGACTCATCTCCATCAACCAGACGCCCTCTTTTCCCACACCACCATACTCTGGAGAAGCTCTTCAGACCAAACCCTGAACCTGGAGGAGCTCCTCAGTCCAAACCCTAAACCTGGAGGAGCTCCTCAGACTAAACCCTAAACCTGGAGGAGCTCCTCAGACCAAACTCTAAACCTGGAGGAGCTCCTCAGTCCAAACCCTAAACCTGGAGGAGCTCCTCAGACCAAACCCTAAATCTGGAGGAGCTCTTCAGACCAAACCTAAACCTGAGAGAAGCTCTCCAGATCAACCCTTGGACCTGGAGAAGCTCTCCAGCCCAACCTTTGGACATGTCCTTGCTTCCCTCAGCAGCTGCCCAGCACATCTCTGCCTGCAAACAGCAGCCACACAGGGAAGGAGCCTCCTTCTCCCTCACACTGCCCCAGGACGTGGCTGAGGGGGAGCATCCCGCTTTCCCAAGGGGTTCCAGATGCTCCCAGGGCATGCATCCTCCTGCTGCTCCCTTCCCATCACCCATGATCCATGTGCCCAGTTGGAAAAAGCAGACCAAAGACCCGCTGGTGACCAGTCCTCGTGCTTCCTAAGACAAGTGTGTTACGTCGCTAATTATATTTATATTCTCTTACTCCTACAAAAAGAAGGGATGAGTTCAGAATTCCACTGCAGATAATGCATTTATAATCTATCACGACAGCTATCTGGAAGACACCAATTTTCCTGTAATATGTTATGAAAGATTGAATAATTTATATTCTTCAACTAAAAATACCCAAACCAAATCGGAATAAGCCTGCCTACCAGCGCTGTGCTTTTCACATAGTACCCTGAACATCAACCACTCTTACTAGCCAAAAAAAATCTAGGCTCTTGTCAACAACAACGACAACAGAAAAATAACAAAAAGAACCCAAACGAACAAGAAGTGGGGGGATCTCTGCACCACTCAGCTGGGCAATGCTGGAAAAGTGAAGATTCTGAGCTTTCAAATGATAGGACCGAAGAGAGAACTTGACTATTGCTCAGTGTCAGTATGTGTGTTACACAATTCATGTGGGAGGGGGAGGAAGGGGGGAAAAAAAGAGGCAGAAGATTAGAAAAAGCAGCTTTTACAAAAACCACTAAAGAATGCATAAAGTGACCCTTGCACTTTTTTTTTTTTTCTTTTGTTCTTGCAAACAGACGAGGCGCTGCAGCCCAGCGGCCGCAGCGCCGATGTAAGACTTGTGTAGTTGCATACAATGTTTGACTCCGGATCTGCAAGAGAGCAAATACATTAAAAGCAGGGAGTTAGAAGGATGTTCTCTTCCCCTCTGCACCCCTGCACCACGCGGAGCTGATCCATATGGAATTTAACAGTCCCCGTGGGCAATTTGTCAGGCAAGGGAGCTGGGAAAGCAGCAGCTCCCCGGCGGTATCCAACGCAGAGGATTACAAATATGCAGATGAGCTGCTCCCTGCTAATTGCACACCAATTTGGGAGGGGCAGGATTAGCCCGGCGTAATTTGTGTGGCACAGAGAGATTTTAGATAACCGTGGGGCTGGATGGGATCTCCCTGGGCAGCATCGTGTTCCCATCAGCTGCCTGTCCTGGTAATTGGGCATGATGGGCCAAGGGCTGCAGGAACAGGCTGGGACTTCTGGGATCCCAGGCATGACAGGAACACACAGGCAGCCGCACGCAACCCAGCGCTAATGAACAGCGTGATCTCCCAGCAGGGGAAAGGAAATATTCCCCTGACAGAAAGATGGGCAGGGACTTTGTCAGGGACCGCAGAGAATGGTTTCAAAGTGCCACAGGGCAGGGTTGGATGGGATACCGGGAAGAATTCCTGCCTGTGAGGGCAGGGAGGCTGAGGCACAGGGTGCCCGGAGGCAGCACTCACATGGTTGGCCAGTGGTTTACCAGTGTGGAGGTACGTAGCTGTAGGTGGGGGTTCCTTGAGCCCTGTACGTTGGCACGGACACTGGATGTGCTCCGATGGCGGTGTGTTGGGGGGTGGTCAACAAGGTTCCTGCAGGGACAGACAGACACTTGTCACGGAGCAGAGGAGCTGCCACTTGTGGGTGCAGCGGGGCAGGAAGAGCATCAGCTGCCTCCTTTTCCCTTTTCCCTTTTTTCCCTGATAATTCTTCTGCCTGCCAGACCTGATTCGAAGGTGTTGGACCCACATGATTGGGATCAGCAGCACCACAAACAGAGCAAGAACCCCTGAAGCTCCAGCAGATTTTCCATGCTACCTCTGGCCCTTCACCTGGAGGGTTTTCCTTGTTTTTTTCCCAGTGATCCTTGTCCCTAAAGACAGGAAGCAAAGCTGGCCACAACCTGCTGACATCTACCTGCGGAAAGCACTGGGCTAAACTGGGACAGCAAATCACTGCACAGATCTGAAACAAACTGGAAGGGATGAGGGATGCAAAGGGAGACGAGTTAAAAAACCCAACAGATCTCCATGGAAAATTAAGATGAGCCTTTTTTTTAAGTGTGCAGCCAGTCAACAGAGGGATTTTAGGTCAGAATTTGCACAGTGCTTCACGGGGAGGGAGGACACAGCCCTGGACTACTCTGTTCTGGGAGCAACTGGGTGCTTAAACCAAATTCTCAGTTTCTGGGTATCTCTCTGCAAATGTTACTAACGAAATTCTAACACATCCCACGTGCATTAATTACATTTATCCACTTCTCAATATAAGCAATCTCTCAGAGTGGTTCTTGTCACATCCAGGCTGCAATATCTCTGCTTGGAATAGGGATTGTGTCCCATTACAGACTCCTATTTCACAGCTAATGCAGATGCAAAAGGATGAATGATGCATTTTCTTGGCATAATTCAATATACAATCCCAAGAATTGTTAAGGAGAAAAATACAGGCTTTGGAAAAAATAAAACCAGCCCCTATCTTACTTAATGTGCTACTAATTGCAGTCAGAATCTGCATGTAAAATGTAGAGGAACCGGGATAGATAAAACAAGGTTACATTCATTTTGTCAGACAAAAACATGACCAAAAGTGTCTTTAAAAAAAGAGCTTGAGGGAAATACATCTACTTGAGGATGGACCAATCTGGTTATTCCTTCACTTAGGGAACAGACAGAGGAAGGGACAATGTATTTAAGGATACAGAACAATATATGTAAGGATACAGAACAATATATGTAAGGATACAGAATAATATATTTAAGGATATATAATTATATATCTAAGGATGCAGGAGTGAGCCAAACCAAAGGTCTCCTCTGCTGAGTCAGATGAGGATTTGGGGCAAATTACCGCATTTCTGCCTGCACAGGAGCAGTGCCCAGCAAACAAAACCAGCAGGCGAACCGAGGGTTGGGATGCACGGGGAATTTTTTTTTCCCAGGCCTCAGAGCAGGGGAAGGGCTCCGTCCTTACCTGCTGACATTGCCATGGTGGTGCCAGCCACCATGCCCATGGCCACGCCGTTGGTGCGGGGCGCGGCCACCGGGGCCGGGTAGATGGCAGAGGGGATGCTGTTGGGCTGCACCACCGTGGTGTGGTGGATGACGTGGGGCTGGGCCGCGTACACGGGCTGGGTGTAATAAGCTCCCTGTTGGAGAAGGGAAAAAGAAAAGCCACCATCATTCCAGGTTCTTTCCCAGCCTAAGGAGTCCTTGGTTCTGTGACTCGAGCTCTGACGAAGAGCTGGTGTTTCCATGGATGAGCTCCTGTGCTCATGATGCCTTGGGAGGGCTGAGCTGGAGCAGAGGCTGGGCAGAGTTACAGAATAAAGCAGGGATTTATGAAAAGGATCTCCTCCATGGATGCACCTTGGGCTGCACCCAAGATGAACCAAAATGGTCCCAAAATGCATGACCGCTCACAGGGTCTCACTTTTATAAGCTCTGCTCCATTTGCAGATTGCAGTTCATTGTCCAATTACAGCTTCAGATTATGAAGTCCCATTCTTCCTGTTTTCTCTCTTAATTTCACCATTGTTTTTGCTCTTAGGCCTGAAATTTGGATCATCCTTGGTCCCCAGCTAGAGAAGGAATTGTTTTGTCTCCCTATTCTGTGGAGAGAGCTTACCAACACTTAACATGAAGCTCAGAACTGTACACCTAGGCAGAATAGAATCTGAAAAATATGAAAGCTAAACCTCAGGCATCACCTAGAGACCTGAACCTGGGGATATGGGGAATGCATGGGGAGGGAATCAACAGTCAAGGAGTCAATCCATCCAGGACAAACCCTGCTGCCTCCCTTTGGTGGGATGAAACAGGGCCCGGACACAAATGACTGCTGGTGTAGAAAAGGAACAAGACATGTAAGCAAAGGACAAGCCATGGTTCTTGGATGATCCCAAGGTGCTTGGGTCCAGTATTGTGTCATCTTCTTGGGTTTCACACAGGGCTCCAAAATCCAGGCTGCCAAGGCTCACAGGGTTTTGAACAAGGGGGAGAAGGATGCATGGGAATAGAAGGAGCCAAGAGGAAAAGAAGAAAAAGCTTCACATAGTATGAAGAGCCTGAAATGAGGAGATGCACAAGGGAGAGAACTGCTGTCCCCATGACAGGCAGCAGCACTGTAAGGACCTGCAAACCAGGCATGGGAGGAAAGAAAACGGATGTGAATCAGCAAAAGGGAGATTTTACCGTGCATTAGTGAAAGCCCCATTAGAGAACCTCTGAAGGTCTGGATTAAGGGGAGAAGGAGGTGCAGAGCAACTATTCCATCACTTTCTTTCAGGAGCTACAAATGCTCACAGGACAAATGGCACATTCTGTGGCTGGGGCGTGGCCGAGGGGACAGGAGGTGGCACCTACCTGGGTGTACAGGTTCTGCTGTGGGTAGGCACTTCTGATGGGGTACATCGCGGTTTGGTACGGGTTCGGAGACGGCGAGTAGGGAGGAGGGGCGTTGTTGCTCTGGGTCGGTGGCACCTTGTAGGGAGTCCCCGCGGTGTACCCTGCCACAGACACAAGAGGGGTGCCAGTCAGGGCCTGGAATGGCTGCTCAGGGCTGGCAGGAGGGCTGGGAGAAGCCATTCCCTGACCCCGAAGACTGCGTGGGATGGAGAGGAGAAGGCAAGGCTCCACCCAGCTAAAACACTCAAATATATTTAACTTATTTACTTAAATATATTTAACTTATTTACTCAAATATATTTGGCTCAAATATATTTAGCTTATTTACTCCACCAGTGCTCAGCAATTAGAGAAGGCCAGGATTTCAAGTCTAATATCCCACATCATCCTCCAGGCACTGAAACAGGGCGAAGAACACACAGAGCTTTTAGAGCTCCCGCCTGATTACTGCAGATTGGAAAAATAGGTGTTAATTAACAAGGGGAATAGCTGTGACTCTTTTCCTCACTCACATTAGCAGGAGAGCACCCATCTTCGAATGAGAAGTGGAAAAGGTTTGAAATATTGATCAGAGCAGAAGTGCAGCCTCCTCCATTAGGACTCCTCCAGGAACCCAGCAGCAGCCACAGACCAACCAACCTCCTGGTTTTACATCTAATGGATTTTTTTCTCTATTCTGAACTCGTTTTTTCAAACAAATACCTCAGAGGCTGCCAGTTCTCAGTGTCACACTTCATTTCTGAGGGGTGTCTAGAGGTGTGGACCTGCTCAAGCCTGTGTGGTTGCACCACTTTGAATACCAAGACTTGCAGTGTTTCCTGACTGATGAATCACGGACAGTTTATCTCCTATATTAAAAAGGCATTAAAACATAATAACCCAGGCAGATGTAATCTGCTGTGTTTATAAACTGGGGAAAAAACACAACAACCTGCAGGTAAAACAATGTGAAAACAAGGTTTAATGACACAAGATGATAGAGGCTCCTCTCTGTCTGGCACATAATTTTAAAACCTAATTATGACTAACACCTTATTAGGATTAGGCTGGCGTGGCCCGTGCTGCTGCCGCTTTGTGGTTCAGCAGCAGCGAGCCTTTAAGCTCCATCTTCTATTAAAATTGCTGATTAAATCCCTCATGTCACTCGAGAAATCTCAGCCTTATTGATCCTGCAGCTCACAAGTGCCCTGGATTGCACAGAAATGTTTTTCTATAAAAGGCTTCTTGTGGGGGGAGAAGAGCTCAGTGGGGAATTTTGTGTTGCCGTCGCCGCTTGTTTCCAGGGTTCACCACGAGCAGGATTCCTCACTTGGGCAAGGAACTGACAGAATGTCCACAATTCTGCCTCTCTGCCTCCCTCAGGTGAAGCCCCACCTGCAGAGCTGCCTTCAGCCCTGGGGACACAGCAGAAGAACATGGAGCTGCTGGAGAGAGCCCAGAGGAGGCCACTGAGATGTTCCGAGGGCTGGACCATGCCTGGTGTACAGCCCCTACCCCAAGGAATGGTAGGGCCATCCTTTTCCCAAGAGAAAGTCTCCCAGAGGCTTTTAAAAGATTTATTTTTAATAACTCTTTTTGTAAAAAAATATATTATATTTCTTCCTCTCACCTTGTTGTGTAATTGATTGAATTTAGTAGGAAAATGGAGTCTGGAGTAGCTGTAAGGTGAGGAACACTCTGACCCCACAGCACTCATGCCCCAGATTAAGCAGGGGCCAGAGGACACCCCACATACCAGGGAGAGCATCCCAAGGTTTATCAGGGAGCTTATCAGCCCTCCTGGAGGCACTACTTATCCTCTTCAGGGATGAGATGACAAGGCTGCACTGGAAAAGCCTGTTTGACTGTGATCCCTCAATGGCATCTCCTCCCCCTTCTCCTGGGTTACAAGGTGGGAGTTTCAGCAGTGTTCTTTGAAAATCAGGCTTTATTGTGGAATTCTTTCAGTTTTAAGGGAATGGGGAATAATGTCCCTTTGGAGATAAATACCTGTCAACAACCCCAGGTTGCTCCCAGGGATCAAACACTCAGCTAAGAGAGAGGTTTCACCTTCTCCACTGGAATTCCTCCTCTGCAGGAGCAGCAAGAGGATCAGTACTCTCCTTTTCATGATCCTTCATGGTTTTAATCCATCAAAGCCAGGCTGGATGGGGCTTGGGGCAACCTGGTCTTGTTCAAGCTGCCCACAGGGCTTGTAGCAAGATGGGGTTTAAGTATGTCACTCCCAACCCAAACCAGTCTTTGATTCTGTGATCCCAAATACCCCTGTCCACAAATCAGTCCCCAGCAGGGGAGGCAAACAGACACGAACCAACCCAGCAGCCCCCCAGAAGGAAAGTTTATTTACTGAAAGCTGCAGAAGAAGCCTGGTAGGTTCTGTTCTCGGTGCCAGCGTCCACCGGGAGGTGGAAGGTGCCCTCGGTGGCACAGGACGAGGAGGTCTGGGGCCAGGCCTGCTTCATCAGAAGTGTGGCTGGAGTGGAGACAGAGAAGAGGTGTCACACAGACAACTTCCCACACTTATGTCACCTTGGAATCACCTTGTTAATCTCTTCCCTCCAGGTTCCTACCCCTGAGGTGCTGAGTCCCACGGAAGGGACTTCACAGCCCCTTCAGGGCTTGGAAATCTTCCTGGAGTCCCTGGGCTGAGCAAGGATGTTCCACACCCTCCACACCTGCTCAGACTCTGAATTAACCCTCTCTGAAGGTACAGCTCTAAATCTGCAGTGTCACAGGGCTGCAAGGTGGGAATGATTGGGATCAATCCTCTGGACTGGGGAGGCTGAGGAGGAATTGGCACTGGGGCCACAGCCTGCAGCAGCACAACGCATCCCAGTGGATGGAAATCCACCTCCCAGAGAGTGCAGGGAAGCAGTGCTGCAGGTCTGCTGCTCCACGAAGCCCTCCTGAGGCTCTCCCAGACTCAGACAGGAATGGGGAGCACAGAGGACACGCAGCAGTGCTGCTTTGCTGGCCATCAGCAGCTGTGGGAGATGCTCATGGGAGTGAGATCCACCCGGAGATGTGGAACCCTGCTCCTCCCTCCCCCAACAGAAAACCAGGAGCTTTGTGGGAAGTCAGAGATTCAAGCCCAATTTCTCCTCCACTCAGTCACTGATCATTTTCTGCTCCAAGTGTCTGCCCTCTCCCAAAGGTTTGGGAGTTATTAAGGATTTCCAGGCTGCCTTGCTTTATTTTCCATGCTAGGCTGCACTCAGGAACATCGCACTGGAGAGCAACTCCCAGTGCTGCCACAGAAACACTCCCTCACTTATGCTTTTATTCAGAATCAGATTCACTTTTGCCTCTGGATTTCACAGAGGTTTTAATTTCTGAGACTGATGAGACAATTCATTCCAGTGTTACACGAATCCTTCCTCTGTGGTTTTCCCTCTCCACATTAAACCTGCCACAAAATCAAGGCAATTTGGGTTGGAGATGGCTGGGAGACTGTCAAGGCTCTGCATGTTCTTTATTAAATCATGGATCCTCAGAGAATCCATCACTTAAAACTACACAAAAGATGGACCAAGGAGGCTTCCAGGAACATAAATACCTCCTGGTCCTTTGCAATAATTCACAGGGATCACAATCCAGCCATGACTATCCAATATTCATTTAAGGGCTACCTCTAACCAGTGTCTTCTGGATTTGGTTTATCATCTCACCTAAATATAAATAAAATAAAGAGTTCTTATTAATTATCAGTTTCTATCCCATGACATTCCCACACAGATCCCTGATTTCTGAGGCTGGTTTCAGTCCTGCTCTGGAAGGGCACTGCTGCAAAGCCATCACTTCTGCCCTGCATTATTAATAAACACAGCTCCAGCCTCAGCCAGCCTCCACGAGCAAAGTGTGTGTCCTACTTTCATGAAAAGAAAAAGGGAGGCTTTAATGAAGGAAGTTAAAACAAAACAACCACGAGCAAGACAGAATGCCTGCGAGGGAACATGCACCAGGCTTAATGAAGACATACATAATTTTATTTTTTTTAATTGTGTCTGCAGCAGAGTGATTTTAGATGCTCATTTCTGCATACTTAAAAGGGATTTGTTAAGAACAGTGTCCTAAAACACCAGGCTTATTGCAAGCATGAGTTTGCAATGATGGTGTTTTGCCTTGTGTCTCTTCCTCTAAAAACTGTGGAAAATGCAGCAGAAAAATCACACAAGGCAGGAATTGGAAATGGAATGGAAAGGAATTGATAGAATTCCAGAATATCCTGAGTTGGGAAGGATCAACCAGGATCATCCAGTCCAACTCATGCCCTTGCTTGTAGGGCTCCTGTGGAATAATCTGGGGAATAATTTAACACCTTTTGGGCTCAAACAGCAGCAAATATCCACTCAAAACCTGGCACTGGGAGAGGGAGAAATCAAGACTGGCTCCAGTCACCATTTCCCTTTCCTCAACAGAGGACTGGACCAAGGGGACTCCAGACTTCTCCAAGTTCCTCTCCTTGTTTCCCTCTGATGCTGTTGCAAAGCTTAGGTCACTACATCATTTAATTTCCTATGTGGATCCCAGGATTTTGGGAACCACGAGGTCAAGAGAAGAGCATGAGGCATGGCTGAAGCATCAGGGAGTGTTTGGAGAACATCAGGGACAAAAGCAGGTGGGATTTGAAAACTGGAATTATCTTCACTCAGGGGTTGATCTCCCACCAAGACTTTGCAGGGAATCCACCAAAATTCATGAGGTTTGAGGCAAGAAACATCTGAGAGGGAGCAGGAGCATCTTCAGGGTGGAGCAGAGAAGGTGATCAAGCTGGGACAGAATGGTTCTGTTCAAGAGCCCTTCCTTGCAGGTACCTCCCAAGAACTCAGAAACTACAAGCTCTTCCCAGCCTCTGTTCCAAGCAGTATTGAGGGGCACCTTTCCCTGGGTAATCTCCATCTGGAGAATCAGATGAACCCTTGGTTTGTGACTGCTTTTTAGTGAGCTGGAGGGATTTCTGCCAGCAGGAACACCTCCTGCCCAGCCTGGGAGCTTTGGAACAGGACCTTGCCCAGGGATGGGAAGTTCAGGAGCAGTTATTCTGCTGGGAACATGCAGCACCTCTTTCATTTTTAGACTCAATGTATAAAATCCCTTAAAAACATAATTAGAATTAGTCTGCTGTTTGAGAAGTCCAGGATTTGAACCCCCAAGCTGATTCCCAGTGTGTTTGAAGGACACCAGGAGCACATTCCTCTCCAGGCTTTTTCCAGCCTCCTGTGTGACAGCAGCTCCTTCAATTTGAGGAAACACTCTCTGTACTGATGATGGTTTTAGCTCAGCCACTGAACCACAGAATTAGCTCAGCCCAGTTCCATTTAACACAGTTGAGGATGCTGTCACTCTATCACATGTCCCCACTGCTGGGAGATTTTATGGCACTTCTTTTCCATCAGTTAGCTCCCAAAGTATCTTATTTTTTTTTCCCTCCTGGAAGTCTGCTTTCCATTGAGAAGGGACCACTGAGTGTGGTGCTGGGAGGGCCTGAGCAGCAGAGCCTGCTCCTGCTTCCCAGAGTGGTTAAAATGGTTTAATATCCTGCTGTGACATGAAATGGTATTGATTTCAAGAGCTGTAAAAATTGTTTAGAGCAGAACCACTGAATGGTTTGGGTTGGAAGGGACCTTAAGGACAATGCAGTTCCAACCCTGTGCCTTGGCAGGGACACCTTTACCTAAACCAGGTCTCTCCAACTTGGCCTCAAGATTTACAGGAAACTCTATGAAAAGTTTCAGCATTTTCATTCCAATTTCAATTTCTGAATTTTAATCTTCATAGTTTCCTTGCTAGTTTAGTGCTTAGCTGTGTTGACCACTGGAAGGTTTTTATTCTCCATGAAAATTGACCTGTCAGCTCTCTGACCATCAGGAGATTTCCAAGATGGAAATTATTAAATGGTGTCTAAGATGTACAAGAAGCAATTCAGACCCCCCCAAAAATCCCTGTCCTTCAGTGATTTGGGGTTTCCTCTCACTTGGGTGTTCCCCTGGCCATGTGCCCACTCAGTGCAGGAGCTGCTACCTGCACAACTGGGGACAAGTGACATTTTATAATATCCAGGCCAAAATGCCAGAATGCTGCAGTATTTACATTCCTGGCTGAGCAGGGAGGACACTGCCAGCCTCTGGGAGGACAAGCTACTAATAAATTTATGGGCTTTTTCTTATTCTGTGGAGTTGTTTTCATTTAATTCCTCCAGTGTTTTATCCTTCAGGGGAAAGGAGGGTGGCCAGCACAAATCCAGGGGAACAAAAATTGTTTCATGTTCCATGTTAAGGCTTTAATGGGAAGAAATGCAGCTAAAGACCTTATTAAAAGCACATAAACCCAAACAAAACACAACAGATCCCTTCCAGAAACATCCACAATAAACAGTTTTATGGAATATGTGTAAACTGTGATGTGGAGAAGACAAAACCAAAAGATTTTGGCAACAAACCCCTCATTCCTGTTTCATCAGCCTTGGAAAGCATCTGAGCCTGGGGATCCACTGATTTTATGACAACTGGGAGATTGAAAACTTGGCAATTAAGGGGGAGAGAGGGTTTAGCAAGACTGGCACAAAGTCCAGCTTTGTGCTCCTTATGCAAGCTCAAAAGGCAGCTTCATTTGGAAGTGCTAAAACCCTGCAGCTCTTCTGAGGCAAAACCACTCAAAATAAACATCTCAAGCAACCAAAAGCAGAACTGAAGGGTGAGATATTATTTTTCATCTCCAGCGTGCGCTTGGAAATGGATGAGCAGGGAATGTTTTCAGGCTTTCTCAGGGTTTTTACCTGGGGCGTAGCCGGGGCTGCTGGTTGGGTACATGTTGGGATTGTAGGCTGGGGCAGCAGTGGGATAGCCTGTTGGATAACCTGAAAGGAGAGGAAAACAGCAGTTAGGGTTTTATCAGTCCAGCAGGGATGGCAGCCCTGAAAAGCAATAAACAACCTGGGTGAGCACACAGGGAAAGCACAGGTGGATTTTCTGGGGACATGAATGTGCTCCACATGTGACATCATCAATATTTAATCTTTATTCCTGTAAGAAACAAGGATCAGAATGCAGGATGCAGGTGTGCTCACTGTGCTTTGGAGAAAACTGCTGGGAAAATCCATACTCTGAGCATGGAATTCATGTAGAAAACCCCACCAGCACAGCAATACTGGAAAGGTTTTCCCGGGCTGTGTGGCAGCACTTTGGAGAGCTCAGCACTCCCAGTAAGCAGAGTTTCTTGCTGAAGGGAAGGCAGGGATCCTGCAGGAAAACATGCCAGCCTTGGATTCACCCATGGCTGCACAAGTGCTGTTCCCAGGAGGGCCCTGATCACCTGCCAGGCCACCTGGAAGGACCCTCTGGAGCCACTCAGGGTTTAATGGGCATCTTCAGCTTGCATCAGCCTCACTGGAGAGGTCAGAGGGAGTTCAGGGGAGCCGTGTGATGGAAGTGGGGCGCTGGAAATCGTGGCACACCCCAGAGCCTGTGTGCACCCACGCAGTGCAGGTGTCCAGCATCCAGCTCCTACTTCACTGGAAATTCCTGTCCTCTGTGGAGAGCACAGACACAACCCCTGCACCTCAGTCTGCTCCTTTCCCACAGAACCACACAATTCCTGAGCTGGAAGGGACCCCAAGGATCATCCAGCCCAACCCCTGGCCCTGCACAGACAACCCAAATCCCTCCCTGGGCAGCCCTGGGAGCTCCTGGAGCCCTGTGGGGCTGTGCCCATTCCCTGGGGAGCCTGGGCAGTGCCAGCACCCTCTGGGGGAAGAACCTTTCCCTAAAATCCAACCTGAACCGGCCCTGGCACAGCTCCAGCTGCTCCCTGGGGTCCTGTCACTTCTCATCATTTTCTTTTCATTTCCTTCAGTTTTTTGCAGGTTTTCCCTACAGAAAAGAGCAACACCTGAACAACTCCATCCTCCTTAGGTGCTGCTGAGTAAATCCCCCTGGCAGAGGGAACAGGACACGTTAACCCTGCTCTGCTGGTGGACAATTTTGGCTGTGCTGAGCGTCACCACCCGGTTTATCTGCGTGTCCCCTTGGCCAGCATCCCAGAGCAGAGCCAATGCCATGGCCCTTGGAGATGTTTCCATGCCAAGCCCCACTGACACTGCCTGTTGGCTGCCAGCAAAGGCTGGAAGGAGGTAATTAGCAGTGGATTTACACCCATCTTTTTTAATGTTTTATTTTATTAAATAAAAGCCAGCGTGGGTCTGTACTCCCCTCTTCTGAGCACCAAGAGAGCCACAGCACAGTCCCCCCTCCCACACCCCAAATCCCACTGCTCCCAAACCCTGGCACCACTGACTTCTGTGGCAAAATGTTGAGGTTCATTTGAATAAATCTAATTCAACAATCATGGCCACTGTACTGGAATAAATGACTGGATGTTCTACCCTCTCATTTTCATCAGTGATATATTTGGCTTCTAAATCAGGTTAATTATAAATTGCTGTAGTTAATGTTGGATAAGCAGCAGTTTAACAGATTTTTTTGTTGTTTTTAGGCTACACAGAACTCTGTTTTCATCGTACCAGGAATATCTAAACCCTATCAGCAATCAAGAAGCTCCTTAGAAAGTTATTTGCAGATCCAGTGATTGCAAGCAGAGCATTAATGATGAGGATCTTAAATCAGAAATATCCCTCTCTCAGTTCATTAGAAGACAACCATGTCTTTTCCAGGACATTCATTGCTCCACACTCTTCCTGTTTCCTCCTGACAATCTGGCCAGGGGTGCTAAACCAACTCCAGCTCACTTCTTGTGTGTTTTCCTGTGTTTCTTCGTGGGGTTTTACCTTCTTGGCACATGGTTTGGTGGAATCCCAGACTGGCTGGGGTTGGAAGGGACCTCAAAGATCATCCCAATTCCCTGCCACGGGCACAGATGATGATGGCTCTGTGTGCCATGGTGTTGGGAAGTCACGTTTGCAAGGGATCTAGATGACAGGCTCTTGGAGCTCCAAGAGGTTCTTCTGACCTTTGCTGCTGGAAAATCCCCCCAAATAAGCCCTGAATCCCACAAACTGCTGCAGTCTCCAGTAATAATCCTTAATTTCCAGCCCTCAGTCACCAGCCATGACAAACACAGTCCTGTGTTGTCACAAATGTTTCACCTGTTCCCCCTGAGATGCCACCAGCACTTACCCACTGTCAAAATCAGGAAAAAAACCTCCTTTACTCGTACCAAAATTTGCAGCATTGGGGTTATACCTTAAAAAAAGAGCCTGAAATAAGTCAAACCACAAGAAAAGTGAGGGTTTGGGTAAGATTTTCCATCCAGCTGAGTACTGAAGGATTTATTTCAGGCAGATGGAGGCAACTCCATGTGTATTTATAGAATCACAGAATTGTTTCACTTGGAAAAGACCTTCAGGACCATCAGGTCCAAGCCCACCCCAGCACTGCCAAGGCCACCACTGACCCATGTCCCCAAGTGCCACATCCACACCTATTTTAAAACCCTCCAGGGCTGGGGACTTACTTGGTCTTTCTCCTTTTTTTGGGGTTTAGTTTCTGCTTGCCAGGACTCTTCCTTACTGTGGTATCTTTTGTTTTGTTGTTCTGAAGGTAAGCTGTGGCTGGATTTGGATTCATTTTGGCTCAAATAAATGTGATTTCTATCAAGGAAGCTTTAATAGCTTTGGACGCAAAAAGAAGCCCTGCTCTGCACTGTCTTCCACTGTGATCTCATAAACTTTGATAAGTGCTGACCTCCAGCAAGAAAACTTGTCCTTTCTATTTTAAGGCAAAGCAGAGATGGGAAAGGTACAGGAAAATTAGTGTGGATTGCTCCTTTTTTTTTGGACACAGTGACAAATAAGAAAGCAGCAGAATCTGGGGCAATTTGTGCCAGAAGAAACATGCCTGGAAATTCCCAGCACTCAAAATCCAGCAGGTTTAAAAATACATGAGGCATTTTTCATTTAGCAGGGCCTGTTGTGATTGGACAAAGGGAAAGGTTTCAAACTGCAGGAGGGTTGATTTAGATTAGACATGAGGAAGACATTTCTTACAATGAGGGTGATAAAACATTGGCACAGGGTGCCCAGAGAAGCTGTGGCTAACCCTGGATCCCTGGAAGTGCCCAAGGCCAGGCTGGACATTGGGGCTTGGAGCAACCTGGGATAGTGGAAGGTGTCCCTGCCCATGGACACTGGGTGATTTTTAAAAGGTCTCTTCTGACTCAAAACTACTCCACAATCCTATAATTTTTATATCCTGTTGGTTTTGGCTCTTCTTTATCCCCCAGATAATCCCAAATCAGCTCCCACATGGAGCTGTGCTCCCCCATGATTGTCCCCATGCCTTACTTTCCCTTGGGTACAAAACAAAGCCTGGATCCAAGAACCAGGAATGATCTCAGGAGAGGTGACAACACCAAAGCATGCAGCATCCTGCTCTGATTTTCCCCCTGGAAAACCCAAGACACCTCCTGTAAATTCCTGCTCCTGCTGCTGCCACTGCTCCCCTCCTGCCATGTCCTGCCTCGTCACCTTGAATGAAAAATAACAGCAAGAGGCTCAAACCCACTTGACATATAATGTCAGGAACAGACAGAAAATATCCTTTACTTCCTATGCATCTGCACATGACAGGACTCTGTCTCTGCTGGGCTTGAGGCCTCGCAGAAGGAAAGAAAATGAGATGAAAAATATTGAACAAAATTTATTAGATTCCTCGTAGCAGAAATCTAAAGTTGTTTTGCGGCTTATTTTAATTTAATATCATCCCCACAATCAATAGGAGTAAGAAAGGCAGTGTTCATTTAATCTCCTCCCCAGGGAAAGCACACAGCACTCCAGCTCTGGGAAGCACTGGCTGAGCTGCTTTAAAAAATCACCACACAATAACTGTGCAAAGCAAAAGGCACACGGGGCTGCATCAAGTAGGTATTTAAAAGCCATCTTTAATTTTTCATGTATTTTAAGTGTTTCTGTATCATTTAAATAACACCCAAGCCATGACAATACACAAGTGCTAAAGCTCTGAAGGTTCTCTTGGAATTCTTGAAAGAGAATTTGCTTCTCTTTGGCTACAGAGCCCCTGCTTGGTCCATGGTCTCAGCCCCCCACCCACTGGGAATTGTCACCTCCAACACCGAATTCCAGATTGTGCCATTTCACTTTTTCAAGAGCAGTTTCATTGACCATTATCTGATCAAGGCCTTAATTGCTATGAGCAGCTGACATTAATTTACAAGACAAAATATTTCCCCTCCATTCTTTTCCTTCACCAGCCTCCAGCAGCACAGACTCCTGAAAGTGGCCATGTCACAAGGATTTTTACAGGATGATAAAGTCCCTTATCTAAGGGCAGGACAAAGCACTGTAAAACCACACTTCAACTCCTTGAGCTGCCAAGGACTCCCAGCTCCACAATTGCTGCAATGGAGAGCTCAATTAACCACCAGCAATCCCTGGAAGGAGAAGCCAGGCAGCCACACAAACCTGTGGCAGTATTGCTCTGAGGTGGGTAAATATGAGATAAATTTAGATAATATGAGGTAAATTTGCTGCCCAGGGCACAGGTGAGTCCCCATGCCTGAAGCCACGTGGATGTGGTGCTTGGGGTCAGGGTCAGTGGTGGCTTTGGTAGTTCTGGGGACATAGCTGCACTCAGTGGTCTTGGAAGGTTTTTCCAACCTGGTTCTGTGCTTCTGTTTTACCAATCCTCCCTCCAAACCCCGTTAGCCACTGTCCACCCCTTTGTTTCTGATGAGTGACAGCTTTGAAGCTGCAGCAGCCCCAGGAACATTTCTGCTTTATGATCACCTCCTCGGGTCAGCCAGATGGAGCCAAAGCATTTTCCCCTGCAAAACACTTTCATGTTCTATTTTAAGCCCATCCAGCATTTCTCATTCTTTAGTGCC